GTAGTAGCATCCTTACCGCAAATTTATACATGCATGCTCCTATAAGAATTGCCAAATTTAAAAAGATAGAAAAGTAAGGATTGTTGGTGAAAAATATCTTTTGCATCATTAAGAATCATCACACGCTAGCGTTTATGAGAGTAGCACAGCAAGGTAGCATCAGCACAGAAGGTTTTCACCTGTCTATTATGAAGAACAAGGAGACAAAATTTTGTAAAGGTTCTCTTTAACGACAGAAAGCTGTATTTCTCCTCCAGGCTACTCTTTACGACAACAGTTGAGTGTGATGTACAGTTTAGTCAGCCCTAGCGAGACGAAACTGACCACTAGGGAGGCTCACTCTGGGAGGAGAGCCACAGCTTTCCCGACACCACGGAGATAAAGCTCCACCAGGGCAAACCACCTGTGGATCCTGTCTTACTTAGGCTACAAATAGACAGTGAACTAATTTCATCGCTGTATTATCATGCCATTCTGAAGCATGTATGGGACTACTATAGAGAATTGCTTGATGCTTAGTGGAATCTATAAAGAAAACAGCGGTTCTCTGTGTGATACTGTCGATACAAACCATCACGATCTCTATTGTCAGTGTCTTTGTCGTGCGTCACTGGACCACATCAACAAGCCATCTGGTTCACGTATGATTTGTCCCATGTATTCAATGCTGATGTGTTATCATTGCTAAATGAGACATGTTCTATACAGTTTTCAAGTTAAATATACATAACTGGATATTATTATTTCTTCCACTATGTTTCCAACTTCTCTTAATTGTTTTCGCAACAGCTTTTAAGTATACTGAAATGAAATGGCATATATTATTTACAAGAGCAATGTTCTATATGATTAAAGATAAATTTGATATAATCTATAAAATAAAATACCTGGTGGAAACCTGACAACATGCATTCTCCTCTACAAACTGAATCACTTTGCATAATAGTGAATATACTATCATTAGATGCTCACCTCTCTCTCCATATCTATCTTGTACAGCCAGACGCAACCACAAATGATGTGTGCTATCTGGTCATAGAACAGATATAAACGAATAACTGCAATTTCATAAAGATGTAATAAATATAAAAGTAAGAATTGATAATCAATATTCACTTATCGTCATTACTGCACTTGTATGTTGCTCTATACTTAGCTGATTCGTTATCACTACGACATATTATTGAAATTCATAATAAAACATATACATACTATGATATAATTATATCTGTTTATTATTTTTCTGCTGTCCACTCTAATTTTCATTTAACTACTCTACCTAGAGCTAGCTGTAAGACACACACAGCAGCTGTCAGTTATTTAATGAGGCATATAAGAGAACTTGGATTGGCAGTGTAAATGAGCATCACCATCGATCCTACATATTTCTTACCTTATTATTCTTCGGCTCCACTTAGTGGCAGATAATAAAGGTATATATTAATTCCTTCCTACGGTACATTATTTAGGATTCTAAATCTTCTAGGCATAACTTTAAAAGTACTAGATGTACAACATAGAAAGATAGAAGAGCTAGAGACTCTATCCTCATTCATAGACTTGTCATCTTCAGCAGAGTACACAAAGGGCTCAAATATCTGCTAATCTTTACAATCATAGTTCATCATCTTGCAGAAGACTAATTCTTTCACTATTGAATCCCAAAGTAAAGCCATAATGCAATTTAAATCAAATTTTCTACTCTTCATTTTTTTGAGACAGACGTTCTCTATTATGTTGATACATGGCATTATCAGTAGCTGATAGTGTCCGTGCGTCATCTCACTGTAATGCTCACATTAAACCACATTTTGTGGGATCCCCTATTTGATATCATGTTAGCAACCCTCCAATGACCTGGCTTTGGAGCATGATCTTACTGCCTTCAGCTTCAATACGCAACGATAGATAAATCTTGTAGCGAAGAGAATTAAATACCAAGCGCATCCCTTTCGAAATGGAAATTTCATCATCCACTGATATTAACACACGTGGCTCTTTAGAAGTTATTTATAATATTTTCTATTTCAGGTATTCGTCCTCTACCATACCTTAAGATTCCTCGCTTTATCAGAATTCCATTATAGGTACCATAGTTAGTATCTTTGTTCCTATATTCAATACCTCCATAGGAAGTTTTCATCTCAATGAACGGACCTTTCGCTCTTTGACACCGCCAGTTTATTATTGAACTCCCTGTACTTATGTAGCAATTCCGCCCTGCACGTGCTTGCTGGCTTTCATACTCAATGACTATCGGATGAATCAGAGACGTTTGGCGAGCATCAGCGCTGCTGCTCTAATATATTTTTTTATATTATCTTTGACGATCTCGCATTGTGTACTTCTCATCTACTATATCTTTGCTGTTTAGCCCAGGCTGAAGAGTGTCTGTGGTTGTCACGCTAAGAGCTCACAGCAACCGCTCCCAAAACCTCCTGGCGAGACATCGTATATGACTAATTTTATGCTGCCTTCTTTCCAGCCTATTCTGTTTAGTAAGTCGTGTATGTTAGCTATTGTGGGACTTTAACGGAAGAACGGTAAGGAAGATGAGCGCGGCTGAGGCACGGAGGAGAAATGGCCCAGCGTGAATTTATTTGTACACTAATAGTATCATTATGATAGTTGGCCAATCAATTTCTTTCTATTATAGGAATGTACTGAGTACATGGGTCTTCCCTCTTGCTTCTCTATGCTCGAGTTTTAACTCACTGACTCGAGCATCCGCTTTTGGCCTCAGCTCCCCAGAGTGCAGATTACAGGCGTGGGAGC